CCAAAAAAAATTTAGCAGCTTGTACAAATGTAGTGTTGTCATCTCTGAGTGAAGCATGGTTTTAAATCAACCTGGAAAACATGTAAACAAACAAATAGTCGTAGCTCCATTACAGGGTCTAACCAAACATGCTATTTGTAGATAGGGGCCACTGACATATACATATATTTTATTTTATTATTATTATTTTTAAATGATGTAAAGATATATTGCTCATTTAATGTCACCCTACATGTGACCCAATGACTTTGTCACCCAGCCTGATTTCAGACGATGTATATGACATTGCACGTTATGTCACCATCAACTCATTTGTTGCGTCTCCTCCTCCCTCCGACACTGAACTCGAGTGACTCCTTTAACGAGCCGTGCTCCTTTCCCATCTCCTCCTCTTTCCCGTGGTCCCCGGTCGGCGTTGCGAGAAGCCTCCCTGCCTCGTGCTGCGTAGCAACAAGCCGTCACATGACCGCGGCTCCCTCCCCTCCGCCACCATCCCTCCAGGGCTGTTAAATTTCTTCTGGCTTTTGTTCTTGGAATAAATTGCTTTTCTTTTCATGTCTTTAAAAAACTTAACGGCAGTAAAAAAAAAAGGGATATATAAATAATTAAACAGAGACTTTCATTAGGACGCCGAAATTACAATAACTTCATATTTGATATCGCCGTTCTCCTTCACCCCCACCTGGAATTGTCCCTGTAATATTTTCCACCAACAAACCAGTTAGCAGATTTACGCCCTCGTGGTATAAAAGCTAAACAACTCCCCAGCCCCTCGTGAGCAGCGTTTTCTCTCTTTCCTCTCTTTGAACCTTCACTTTCTCTTTTCTAACCGCCTCAGATCTGCTTCTGTTTGACTCTGTGCATCACAGCTACATTTGTGGAGTCTCATATGAATGACTGGTTTGGTTTGATCAATATTAATGGTCCCCCCTGCTGTTAAGTAGAGGGGAGGAGTACGAACACGCAGAGGATGAAGGCTCCTGTTTGTCTGGCTTTGTTAGAGCCATGCGTTCCCCCATCTGTGTCATCTGCTAACACTGAAGGATATTTCCCCACGTGCCCTGTTTATGCATCCTGTCATATCTGTGCTACATGCATACATGAAGTGTGTGTGTGTGTGTGTGTGTGTGTGTGTAACGAGGAACGAAACTGGGTCATGTGTACCTTGTGTGTGCGTGATGAGCACCACTGGGAGCCCTCTCAACCTTTCCTGCATCTCCAACTCTTGTTTTTCTGACTGCATGTTTGCAGCCGTCCCGTTTCCCTAGGCGCTCACTTTCCCTTATTTTGCTTAATGTCATGCTCGTCCCAGCTAACACCCCTATCTCCCTCTACATCTCCTATCCTCCCATGCATCATCCACTCCTCCCTCTCTCTCTCCTCTCTCCAGCCTTTGGCCAGTGCAGCCCAGATTTACTGAGTGCCGCTGAGTGCATCCCTCTTCTCCTCCCGCCCCTCTCTTGATCTTGACTGACCATCCAGCGGGAAACGAGCCCCGGGGTTCACTCTGAAATTTGGATTCTCCATCAGCAGCAGCAGCAGCACTAAAGACTTGCTGGGTGTGTAGTAAACACACACCAGTAAGTGTCTGCACATAGCGCCGGATACTGACAGTGCGTCACTCCGGAGCTGTGCTGGGGAAACTCAAGGCCAAGCGCTGTGTGTGTGTGTGTTTGTGTGTTTACAGCCATTGATTTCCTGAAGCACTGAGAATCCATTAACCAAGAATAGTCCCACTGCTGAGTTTGTCTTTGTATTCGTCGCTCTGTTTTTCTTTTAACTCTGAAGACGCAATTATTGAAGTAACGAAAGCCTGAAACTATGTTGAACCACATGCACAGATATACAGTCACTTGGTGCCACTCGGATCAGCTCTTGGCCGTGTTGTGAGCTATAGGGAGATTATTGCTGCAGTTCCAGAAAGACAGGTTGGGATATAATGAATACAGGTGAGATGGCACAATAGCAGTTATCTGAGCTGTACTTTAAATCCCACCTATTGGCATGTGTGATCAATAACCATAAGGCTAGCTATAGATCGGATTGATCAGGACGTCCTGTGTGTCGTTGAAGTCATGAAACCAGACAGACGATAGTGCTTGCTCAGTTTTGTAGCCCTATTGCATTACGTGAGGCAGGAATTTGGAATTGGATTGCAAACACGCTGAGTCATACAATCATTGGTATCAGCGACCGAGCGGGACGGCACCTGATACGCCGGATGTGACCGGATGGGACTCCAGCACGCAATCACCTGTCAGCTCGTCGTCTAAAACACTCCACAGTGCAGGAAGGGTATGAACAAATATGAATACATTACTCAGATATGAACAGATGATGTAACAGAGAGAAGCACTGATGGCTGCAAGTTCGACAAAAAACAACAGGACCAGGAATGGCTGGAAGGAGCACGGTCACTCAAAGAGGTTCCTCTTCACTGGTGTTCATCAGATTAGTTGTTGTGTACAAGCACAAGTGTCCTTTTTACTTTATGATCCAATATTGAAAACTGGCACTTCCCTCAGTGGATGGAAACTTAGGAGATGAAGTTGGGAAACATTTCAAAAGTGCACAGAAAGAGAGCCAAGAGAGCTTCCCAGAGTCCAGATCAATACCTTTCTCATTTCTATTTCACCCAGACCTTCTCCTGCTGCAGCCTCAGCCTCAATTTTTTAGAATTGTGCTGTATTGCCTGGCCTGGCATCACCAGACAAATGCGAATGAGTCCAGAGCTGCTCAGTTCATTTTGGATTTCCAAGGACTGTAGGTACCTACGGGTACACACTAAAACACCTCCAGATAAGTACACAACCAATCACAGCAACAAAGCAGGTGACACAGTACTGAGTAAGAAATTACACTGTCCAAGTCTTTCTCTGGTCATTGATTAAACCTCTAAATATTCATCTCTCTGTGTTTAAGTCACACATTCAGAATGCTTTCCATGATAATAATCACTTCCTGTTCGACAGATAAAGACAGACAAACCCTCCACCTATAGATTTCTTGAACAGCAGTTTTAAAGCTCAGCATAATTGCTCCAGCTGTCACCATCTTGGCAGTGCTTGACTTCTACTAACTCCCTGTTAATCCAAAAAAATGAGCAAAGAGGTGGAGCTGAGGCGGGTCTCTGGGTCACAGACTGCCCCGTGAGAACATCCACCTGTCACACAAAGCAGCAATCGTACATAACATTACCCCTTATTATAAATTAAACGATTGACTTATATAAAAATTCCCCTCCTGTGCTGTTTTTGCACCAGTCTGTAAACACGTTTATTTTGGCTTTAAAGTTGGACAGTTTAACATGTGGGGTCCATGGGGACTGAGTCACTTTTGGAGCCTCAAGTGGACATTTGAGGAACTGCAGTTTTTGGCACTTTGCTTTTATCATATAGGCTCAGCCACATTTTTCTTTTTTTTTGTCATCGTATTGAACTTCCCTAAGTGTTTAATAAACGGTTGTGATTGGCATGGGGGAAACCAGGTGGCAGTCTGTTTGAACACGAGGGGTCTAAGTTACCCATAGCTTTTGTAAATAGGTTTCCAAATTGTAGTCATAGTAACTTTACCATTCACACAATTTTTTTTCATTTTTTTGTTTTTAGAAAATCATACAATATGGTCCAAGGATTTTCTTAAAATCTAAAGGGTCTTAAGGGTCGGATTATCGCGTCACAGCTGTACTTGATTTGATACGGCACATTGGTAAACACTGTACATATAGTCATATGAGCAGAATAAATTGCAGTAGAAAATAATTTCACAAGTATTTTTTTTACATAAAAGATTTCTTGCTGGAGGCCACACCCCTTTTCTCTATAAAATAATATCCCAAAATAATCTTGGTTTTGTGTTACTCTTCCACACGACTGTACTGAAAACATCAGGTCCTCTAATTGACGGTTTGTCGAGGCGGCCTAATGCTGACGAGTATTTAGAGCCGGTCGGTGTTAACGTGACCACAAGCTGTGCGCGTCCATCTGCTTTCATGGGAACAGCTTGTGGATTGAAGGGAAGAGATTTGTCCAAGTAAAGCTGCAGCAGGGTGCGAGTGTTCGGAGTAGAAATTCTTCTTTCTGCCTCACGTGACCTGGATTTATTTCAATGAATCAATAGCTAGTTAGTCACTGAATAAATATTAACAAGAAGATTTGATGAAGAAAGCTATATAGCATTAATATAACAATGGTCTATCTGGAGAAAGTGCATCTCTTTTCTGTTAGTGTCTTCCTCTCTTTGGCTCGCTGTGTAGATTTTGTCTAACTGAGGTGTGTGTTTGTGTAGAAATGGCCTGTCCCGCTCACATGTGACCCCATGTGACGGGACTGCAACAGAAGAGAGGAGGCAAAGCAGCCACTCTGCTCATCCCACAGCAGAGATGAGATGGTGCCGTTTGCATGTTGTTTGTTCTCCCTCCTTTGTTCCCAGTTGTATTTATTTGCATTCATTTCTGCCTTTCACACTGACTCGCGAGGCACATGTTTGAAAAGCCTCGGCAATAAATTACACCGCCGCCGCCGCAGTGGGATTCTGACAAAATAAGTGGATCAACAAAAAAAAAAAAAAAAAAGCTTGCTCAGTTTCCTGCCTAATGGTGTGTGAGTTAGATGCCGTAATATCATGTGTGATACGAATGTGTGCTGCGTCCACCGGCGGATTTGCAGTGACTCAGTGCGTTTAAGTGCCCCAAACACAATTAACCGAGGTCATGGAAAAGTGGGATGTTTCTGCCATGTTTTTCTCCCCCTTGTTAAATCTCTCTTTTCGCTCGCTTGTTTGCCACTTCCTCTCTTTCCTCCAACTTCTCTCGCTTGTTCTAACCGCCCTCCTCTCCTCCTCGTTTCTTATCTCGGCTGAGAGGAGCCAGACAGGGATGGATGACCGAGGAAATGGAATTCTCTTTATCACAGTTGTGCTCCCTGCAGTGAGCCATGCATCTGCACGTGTCAGCCTTTTGCATGCAGCAGCCCTACGTATATTTATGCACAGAGATCCCGATGCCGATACTGTATTGCACACAAACAAGCGACCACCTCATGTTTACGTTTCTCTCTTTTTCTCTACAGTTGTCGTACAAGCAACAGAAAAAGCCTGATCCTGACCACCACGTCTCCCACGCTGCCTCGTCCACACTCCCCTCTGCCTCTCCCCGGACACCTCGGTACGTAAAGCGACTCACCCAGCTCTGACTTCAATCAGTTAGCTTCCAAAATATAAATTTAGGAAGTTGTTGTCGTTGGCTTCTTGCACTAAGCTCATTTCTCGGATGTCTTGCGATGATCCGTATTTTAATCCTCTGAACTTCAAGCAGTTTCTGGGTGGTTTTTTTTTGCTCCTGTCACACATTTCACTGCAATATCCTGAACCTCCATGGAGAAAACACAATCATGGCATGGAGTAGAAATAACTCAAACCTGTTTGCTGTGCAGTGTGACACAGTTATTATGCTATAAATCATTTTAAAAAAGAAATAAAAACAAAAAATGACAAACCCTGGAATCATGTACAACAGTTTTCTAAATCCACACAAGTGCTTTCAATAAAGAACCCATTGACTCTAGATATAATAATAATATTAATAATCCATCCATCCATCATCTGTACACCTTAATCCTCACTAGGGTCATGGGGGGTCTATCCCAGCTGACTCAGGGTGAAGGCAGGTTCACCTGGACAGGTAACCAGTCTATCACAGGGCTACACTTAGAGACAGACAACCAAGCACACTCACATTCACACCTACGGACAATTTACAATCACCAATTAACCTCAACATGTTTTTGGACCTTGTGGGAGGAAGCCGGAGAACCCGGAGAGAACCCACGCTGCACGGGAAGAACATGGAGACTCCACGCAGAAAGATCCCGGGTGTCCTCACCAGGACGCGAACCGACGACCTTCTAGCTGCGAGGCAACGATGCTAACTTTGCAGCCCAACAATGATAATAATAATGATGATAATACATTCGTTTATATAGTGCTTTCTAAGAAATTCAAAGACGCTTTACACAACAACAACAACAAAAAAACAGAACAATGAAGTATTGTAGTGTGATAGTCAGGAGTTTATGGTCAAAGTAGGGAAATGCCAGATAAGTGCCATGAAAACACAAAAACACAACTGAAACAAGTTGTTTGTTTTTGGACAAACAAGACATTTGCGGAAACACTGCAACACCACGTTTTCACTATTTTCTGGCATTTTTGTTTGTTTGTTTTTTTAAATCAACAATTAAAATAATCTTTAGTTGCTGCCCTTTAATGAACCTTCATCAAACCAAACTTCATTCAAAAAGTTCCAATTTAATCGTCTGGCCACCCAGACGATCATCAGCATCACTTTGGTTCAGAATCTTGCTCAGTTACATATGATAGATATTTAACTATTTATATCTTTAATATGTTTCCATACTTGCCTCCTTCTCTCTGCTTTGTGTAAAAAACAACCTGCAGTTCAACCAAAAAGCCTGAATATTTGTCACATTACTGGTAACCACGACTGAGTCACCAACAAGTGATTGTGATGAAATGATTTTTAAGCTTTGTTTGGATCTTTTTCCCCAGATTATACTAAACATCACACGTGATTAGTTCAAAGACTGTCTGAAAGCTGAATCCAGTGATTCTTTCTGTTTTTACAGTTTCTGGCTCTGATAAATGGTGTAATGTTTTTGTTTTTTTTAAAAAAGACAACAAGGCTTTCAAACCCGTTGGCAGGTTTTGGTGTTCAGAGGATTAAAATAAAACTGTCATCCTGGTTTAGAAATGCATTAGATTGTGAATTATCTTTTTAAAGACTCCCAACAAAATAGGTTTATGTTGCTGGTTCATCATAATAACAACAGTTTATGAATATGGCATTTTGTGTTCTCCACTGTCTGGAGACCATCCCTCCACTAAATTACACATTTAATATTCATAGGAAATGATCCTCCTTCTTGTCAGGATAGATGGATACTACTTTTAGACACACCTGCCCGGTCACACCTGCAGGTTACCTGTAAACACCTGTGCTGACATAAACCCACTGATTGTTTGATCTGTGTTACAGCATATATCCGCCTACCTGTGGTGGTCTGAGGCTGCCTCCCTTGGTTGTAGTTTCCCTGTTCAGATTTTGTCAGATTAATTCCTTTATTCTCGGTTCTTGTGGTTTTAATCCCAAGTACGGGGTATTTCCCCGCCGCTCGTGAGCTAACGCGCCAAGTGGGGCTCGTGCTCTGCGCCGATTTACGGTGAGCAGCGGGAGGAAACCACTTCCGGTTCAGTGGAGCCGGCATCATCACGGCTGTGATTCTTTACCGGCGTACTGTTCGTGGGTTGTTCCTCTGATAATCAGCAGGTGAGGAAACCTTCTTCCGGTGTCGCGTCTCTCTGTCGCCGCCTGATGCGCAGTGCGGCGGTGCGCAGCTAACGGCGGTCCATGTGGAGCGCAGACTTTCGCGTTGGATGTCTCCTCTCTTGCTGCCTCCCCCCTTAACAGGTCCATACCATCTCGGCTCTGTGGGTCCCATATCCCCTCCTTGGCTTAGACAACTTCCTCCACAGAGTTAGCTTAGCATGAAGCTAATGACTTCCCACAGAGTTGGTTGTAAACACGGAAGTGAGAACCCCGTGTTGCCTCCAGTCCCCGCCCCCTGAAAAGGTGTCACGGTGTGGTACCTGGTTTTTCCAACTATGGCAAGGCACCAGGAACATTTTTGTGTGGGTTCTGGAGTTTTCCATGTTTTGGAGGATGACCATTATAGGTTCACCAATGTGCACTGTTAACTGTAGAGAGACAGGGATGTCTGCCATTACTCTGTGAGGTGTAGTGGTGATACAGGATTAGATCCCTGTCCCTCCATGTGCTTCAGCATCCTCCTCCTTTGACTCCTGTTGCAGATCTGAAATGGATTTTCTTTAGCACTAAATTTCTGCTGGCCTTAACCTCTGCCAGGCCAGTGGCGACTGCTGCAGGTTTTTGACAGGGGCATTCGGTGTAGTTTTATGTTCTAACCTTGTGTTCTTCATCTGAATTCCACTTGTCTTAGTCGGTTGAGCTACTGTCACTTGCCTCTTCCAGGGAAGACCAGGAGGACCAGCACTGGTTTTAGCCTTGCCCTGTCCAGGCTTGGCAGAGCACATCCAGTGACTGACCAGCTCTTTGTATGCTTTGACTCAAGCAATGTGGACAGGCCTATGTTGAAATCTTGGCTGGCCTGCTGGATTGTAGACACCATTCAACAGATGTGTGTTCTCCCGTGGTGTGGCTGCCACATGGGCACTGTGGGAAGCCTCTCTCGCTGGCATATGTGCAGCAGCCACATGGTCATCTCGCTCCACTTTTATATCAAATCCATTACCTGCAGCCAGTCCCTCCTTTGGAATGGGTGCTTGGTGTGACTTATCAGTGGATGGCTGGACCAGGCCTCTGTCCACCTTCACTATTTCTCTTTGTCAGCTTAGCTGCTTGCTAGTTGTTCTGAGTGGGGTCAAGCTTGCATCTTGCAGACTGGCCTAAGTTGCCCTTCTGCCTCTCAGGCCTGGCCTTTGCATTGTGCAGCGCCTCTGCCTGGTTGGTATGTAAATAAGTGTACATTTGCAAATAATTAATTTGTGATATCCTGTGGTTTGGGCTGCACCGTCTCCTCACAGGGTGTCTTGAAGAGTTAACCCGTACATATGTAAAGAGACGATCTCTCCAGCTCTTTGGCCTCTCAGAGACACGTTTCAGTCAAAACTATCAGTGAATTCACACAGCACGGTTGCTTTATAGGTCGCCTGTGGGGCATAAACGGGAAGCCGGTGTGGTTGAAAGAAGTATCCACGTACCATGATGAGCAGAGGGGTTCATTCCCTGTTCATATGAAATATGTAACTAGGTGGAGAGATGGTCTCTTTACTCAGAGAACCAAGGTTATATTGTAGCATACATTATATGCTTATTCACTCTCTTGCCCAGAGGGAGGATCGATGCCCTTCTTATGTCTGTATGTAAAAGTGAATTTAGATCTAAGCGTTGATTAGCTTGGATTAGCATAGCGATTTCACACAGAGAAACAGCAAGTTGGCTCTGTCCAAAGGTAATAAAATCCACTTCCCAACACCCCTAAAGCTCCGTGATTAAGGCGCTATATCATGTTTGTCTAATCTGTATAAAACTCAAAGTGTGACAATGACATATTGCAGTTTTTACGGGGGATTATGTGGCAGATTGTTTCTTGGTCATTACCATGAGGTTTCCAGGCAACCAGCAGAAAGTCCAGGAAATTACTGCTGCCAGCGAACAAGTAGTCTGCATATAGCTCCCAGTGAGCTGCAATATCTAATATTTGCACTTCAGTTTTGTAGACTTGTTGTTTCCGCATGCTTTATGGTAAGCTGAGCTGAATGTCTGGCAGTAAAAAAAAAAAAAAGCATATTTACGATAATGTCAAACTATTTGTTTAGTGAGGTGAATACTAAAACAGAGCTCTTGCGGAAAGATCCACATCTTCAGGTGGCCTAACTGGACATTTGAACCTTCTATATCTTCAGCAGCAGCAGAGCTCATGGTTGGAATTAGGCTGATGTTTCTGTACGATTAATTTATGAATGTGATTAATCACTGAGGATTGTCATCAGAGCATGGTGGCGCAATATCACAAACTTACTTTAATTCAAAAATCAGAAAAATAAACAAATCTTCTTGATGCCAGCTTCCATAAAAACACAGAAGAAGAGAGCTAGCCCTGTGTGGTGCCGAAAGCAACTCATTTCTAAAAGGGAGCAAAACCATATAGCCACATTTACAATCTTACCGCATTACAATGGATGCTTATGCATTAAGATTAATGCAATCACATTTGGTGTTAATCCAAATACTTTTAGCCATGTATTCTATCTTACCATAAAATATTGGACCGTGCACGCTACAATCTGTAATATTGCACTATGTATTTTTGGCAATAACAACTTTTTATTATTATATTGTTGTTGTTATTCATTATTATTATCAGTCTTTATCCTACCGAACCTGTCGGCATGTGTGAAAGTCATGTTTTCTTTTTTAAAAATTGCACCAGTTGCCAATCAGAATCTGTAAAAACAGAGACTTTCCAGTGGTACTTGAACTAATCACATGTGACGTGGGGTTCCATGAGAAAAAAATAACCAAAATTACGCATAAAAAATAAAAGAGAAGAAGCCACAAGTGACTCAGCTGCAACTGAAATATTGTTTGCTTTACTCCCTTTAACTCAGAGATTAGCCAAAAACAAACAGAAGAACAAACCAAACCCTCCTTCGTGCTGAAAGCAGGCAGCAGCAGCTTCTTCTCATCTGTTTTATTATTATTCTTATCAATTGGAATAATTGCTATTAATTGCTTCATAAGCTTTGTTTCTGTTAATTCTGAAAAAAAGTGAGCTCGACTGAGCATGCTAAGGTGCTCATAGGTCGGGTCACTTTAAGACCCACAAAACTAAACTACGGGGAATAGATTCAAGAAAGCGGGTTGTGTTTATCGTACGAGGGATGTCCCTTTTAAATTTGTTGGTTTGATTGATTTACCTGTGAAAAAGTCCCCGCTCAGATTCCTCAGTACATTAATCAGAACCCTTCTGCTCACAGAACCGGGCGGCACAAATATAAATCTTAGGCTACATCAGTCTGAAAATCAATGACGGCCCTTATGGTTTGGAAAAAAAAAAAATCTTAATCAATTTCACACCATTTTCCACCCCAAAGCTTTACCCAGTTATTATGAACAGTCACAGCGTCGTATTGAACCAGAGGATCTGTCTGAGTCGGCTTTAGTGCTGCACCTCACAGGGTGTCCTTGCTTCCCCCTGTGGTCATTCAGACCTTTATTACCGTGTCACACCGCTTCTCCTGCACTTGTGTTGTGTCTCATCCTCTGTATATGTTTGTTGTCTCAACAGGAAGCAGCCCTCTGGACAGCCCACGAAACTTCTCTCCCAGCAACCCGGCGCACTTCTCGTTCGCCTCCTCCAGAAGGTCTCTGCTTTGTGCATGTTTAAGTGCGTTTGCTCGCTGTTGTGTTTGGATGTGACAGAAGTGAGACAGACAGAAGTCAAGTCAGTGTGAGACAAAGAGCGGAGGGAGGACGAGGGAGCGTCGGAGATGTGGAGGTGTGGATCTGTTGTAGCGAGAGGTCTCGCACATCCCGGGGAGCGGGAAGCCTCGCTGGTTCTAACAGGCTGACTCATGTATGACAGGACCAGGCCATTACATTCACAGCACCTCGGTGTTTGTTCAGGCAGGAGGGATGTGTGTGTACACTGGTGTGCATCTGCTCATATGTGTGTGTTTTTACATTTACTTAAAGGGTTAGGAGGTTACGAATGTGTTTGCTGCATGTAGCAAGAAGGAAGTTTTCTCCTTTTATGGCTTTTAAAATTAAATCATGGTTAATTTAATTTGGCTTTTTAAAACACTCCAAAAAAGACTCTTTCATGTCAAAGCAGATTTTCACGATGTTAATTAAACACTAATATTAAATGTAAAATAAGTGACTGCATAAGTATTCACCTAATAAGTGATTTACCTTATTCATTAGCTAATTGATTCTCACAGAAACAGAACTCATCTGAATGCAGTCAATGTGTCTCACGTGTGAATATTTGTACAATCATCTATTTCTGTACTTTCGTTTAGGGCCAGATTTTGTGGCTAGACAGTATTTCAAGTGAGCTAAAATCTTAATGCTGCAGGATGCACTAGTATAAGGGAAAATAATGTACCTGCAGCTCTTTTATAGCAGTTTGTAGGAGTCTTTCTGCCTGTTCCAATATGACACCACCTCTATGCACAGACCCCCCCAAAAAAGAACGTGAGCCTGCACAGAGCTGTGACCTCAATCCTCTCCAACACCTCAGTTATCAGCTGGAACACTGACTTCACTAATACTCTTGTTCTTCAACGGGAGCAAATCCATGCAGCCACATTCAGACATTTTACAGCAGAATATAAGAAGATTATTATATATATATATATATATAAGAGGATTCATGCAATCATATTTGGTTTTAATGCTCAAGTGTCCACATACTTTTGTATTTTTTCACAAAATCATTTTTGAATTGCACACTGTCATATGTCTACAGATGTATGAACTGCTCTTTAGATTATTGCTACTATGATTATAAATCCTCTGAACCCCAAAACCAGCCAGTGGATTTGTAAGGCAGGTAATCTTCCCAAATTCCCAAAATAACACCATTTACCAGAGCCAGAAAAAGGTAAAGTCAGATAAAATCTTCAACCTTTCGATGGACCTTGAGCTGATCGTAAGTGATGTTTGGTTCCATCAGTAAAAATAAGCAAAAACAAAGCTTAAAATTGTGATATTTTATTGAACTCTCCTTCCTCTATGTAAAAGTCAATACATTCTGTGTTCTTTGGCACAACTGAAAAGTGACTCCATTGCAGTCAGCAACAGTGGGACCAAAGTTCAGTGGATTCTCAGCTGAACTGCAGGATGTGTTAGCACAGAGCAGAGAGAAGAAAATGGAGTCTGAGAGGAAAATAAAACACACTTGGTCAATAAAATAAATGCAGCATGGTCCAAAATCAGCATACAGAGGATCGAGTTATCAGCAAGTTGTTCACAGATACATTCAGCGTGGTGACAGGTCTTTCTGGAGTTAGCAGTAGAGTTTGCTAAATTTTTCAAACCACGAAATTCAACTTTCATTTTTGTATTTTTCACAATTTTTTTTTCATACTGCACATGACACATTTTTGAGTTCTCTCTACTTCTAGCCACAGTGGTTCTGTTTCCACTGAGGTGCAGGACTTAATATTGCAGTGAAAATTGAACACATAGAGAGGAAAAATGTGACAGGAGCACAGAACTCTTAGAAATTGCCAAGTAACAAATGCTTGTTCTTGTTCAAAACATGTGAAATGGGTCAAAATGTAAATGTGGAGCATCCATAGCTTTGATATTTGTCAGTTAGACTCCTGACTTCTGATTCACTCCCTACGAAGAAGCAGGTGGTGATAATATACAGGCTACAGGTGGACACTGGAGGGAAGGTGGAGCTTTGGTGGGGAAGTAGCAGCACCTCTACATGGGTGCACTGAATATAGTATGCTGCAGGGAAAAATAAGTTGGGTATATTGCAGGCGAGTCTGTTTAACTTACAGGAACTCCATAGACCTCCATAGGAACTCTATACCATAGAACACCATGCTGGGGTTACTGCCATTAGTCTGACCATTGGTTTATAATTGGTACAAGCAAATCTTTTATTTAAGATGAACACAAGGTGAAGAAAATAGTGGACACAGTGAAGAAAAAACTACACCTATCCACACTGGAGGATTCATTTGTGCACACTGGAGCAGCTTTCATGCATTATTGCTCACAATGATTCCATGTTTTTATCATTTTAGGATTTTTTTGTCACAGTGGATGTAGCTGTCTGAGCTTCTCAAACAATGGTTAATGTGCAGTATGTGCGTATTAGAAAGAGGAAGAGTTTACTGTCATGCGTTCTATATGCAGAAAAACATGTGAACAAGGCCAATTAGACTGTTGTTTGTTTACCTCTGCTCCTCCTCAGCCTGACATAGCATCGTGTGCAGAAGCTCTGGGATGCTAGTAAATCCTCTGTCCTCATTTATCAAATCCGTCTGCCTGCCTGTCACCGTGCGATTGAGGCATACAGAGGCACACTGAATGAGTCTTCTGTCATGCCCTCACTAAGGAAGGCTCCAGGGACAACCTAGATGTATTATAAGTCATTGGTCTGCTGAGTGGGGTTTTTTATTCAGTGTCCCTGTAGTATGTGAAATAAGGTCACTGTCACATGCAACAAAATCCACCTCTGTCTGCAGCTTATATGATGCTGATTTAATGGTGGAATACATGCACCACGCTGAGCTTTACATAACGTGCTATTTGTCTCCTCTGCAGGGCGGATGGACGGCGATGGTCTTTAGCATCGCTGCCGTCCTCTGGATATGGCACCAACACTCCCAGCTCAACGGTAAATACCTTCACTCCTTTTCCATTCTGATCTATTATGCATAAGTCAGAGCTTTCTACCCATGAGTACGAGCACCCGAGGGGGCACTTCTGCAGCTAGGTGCGTGCGGAAAGTTTGATTTAAATAATACACTCAGCTGCCAGTTTATGTAGTGCACCTGGCTAAAAGTAATGCAATCAAATGCAACAATCAATGGGTCATTCCACCTCAATTCACCAAATTGTAAAAAGAATGCACTTTTATTTGAAGCACTATGAGTTGGAAAACCACAATTTTTCTTTTAGCCCAGTTGCAATATTACACAACTCCTCCAGTTGGGACCACTGTTGAAGTGGTTTCACCTGCCATACCTGTCATAAATGCAAAAAAAAACCCAACATTATTTACTTTTTTTTTCTCATAAAGTCTGCCTCTGCCTGGCGTCATACTTTACGTTTTTACAGCTACTATTGGAACCAATCACAGCTCAAAAAACAACAACAACAACAACCAATCTGCCTCTCAGGGTGAACAGTAAAGGTTTTATGTTTGGTGGGATATTGGAGTAGAGAGAAATGTTAGTTTTTTGACAAAATTTACACCATCATCTCCTCTATTTTTTGTTCATTGTTGACCACTTTGGTCTGCAGCTGGGTGATGGAGTTTGGCAACTCAACTAGGAACTCTTGGCGCATTGCTGAGACATCAGATCGGACGCTGTCGATCAGTTCTTTCATGTAGTCTGGCGTGATCATGCCGGAGCAGGTGTGAGCTTGTGAGCTAGCATCGCTATGGCTAGTCTTGTCTCGCTGTTTTGTGGTTCTGGATGTTTTGCTGGCCATTTTTCATTGTTTAGCGGTTTGGCAACCCACGTACTCATTCTGACGATGCTGTATGACCGACTTCTGTTAGGTTACCTCACATAAGGATCGAATAAATAATCATTAACAAGAGGAGTGCATGTGAGGACGTCCTCACTCCGCCATGACACCGGAACTCCCTTCAAAATTTACACCATCATATCACTGGTTTGTGTTATTCCATCATGGTTGTATCGTTGAAGACCACATGTACATATCAGTGAGTCTGCCAAATATCAGGACTCCAGCTCTATTATTTCTCAAGTTATGGCTTTTCAAACATTACTGCACAGATTGAAGTCAACATGACCCATCCCTCTTTAAGAATTTTTACCTCCAAAACTAATATTACCAACAACTCCAGATTTTACACATGGTTAACTCCGTCAATATTCGCCACTTTAAAAAGGATTCAGTCAAACTGAAGATGGTTGGACGTGGGGCATTTAGTGAATTGAGGCAGAATGACTTTTATGCCAGAAACTGGTATGATTCAGTGCTATTGTAGTGTATTGACAACTGCATTAGTTTTAACTGATGTCTCTAATAAACTAGCAGCTGAGTGAATATTCTCATTATCAATACAAAATGATTAAGTCATGACACTGCTTACAACAAAACCTGTTCACTTCAAGATGTCGGTCTTTACAGCTTGAGCTTGTTTGAAGAAGTAAAAAGAAATGGTTCGTACATTGGTGCAGTGTTGATCTTTACAGCAATATCTGATGAGCATCAATCTGAGTCAGTACACCACAAGGCAAACCCCCTGCTGTGTTGTGCTTGAGTTTTTGTCCGTGTGATGCCCAAAATATTGAACTGAAATACAGCAAAGCTAAAAGTCTAGTTTGAAACGATCAGATAAATGGCATTTGAAACAGCCAGAGGTGCTGGATAACCAGCTGAGGCAGATAAAAGCAACGAAACCAGCAGCAAAGCAAAAGCAAACTTGACCAAAGACCAACTGAAACAAAAAGATTATTACAACAGTTTCATTAAATAAATAACAAACCCTTGATAAGAACATATTTAGGGTGATGTTGATCCAGCTACAGCTATCTAACATGCAGCTAACTGCATTTGGAGCAGATGTACTTTAATCTCTGGATCACTGTTTCACATCTCTTCAACGCAGCAGGATTTCATTTCTCTGTTCGGCGTTCTTTAAAGTATAAAGCGAGCGTCGTTTTCTGTGCCAAAGCGTTTCCCTAAAAACACATTTAAACTTGGTCCATCTCCAGCTCATCGCTCCTTCCCCTCCCTTGTCTTTCGGTGTGTGACTTGTTGCGTAACCGTGACGTCAGAGGCCTGGTTCCTCGCTTCCATCTGGCCGTGGATGCAGGGTTGGATGGATGTAGGGGGGGAGGAGGAGGAGAACAGGAGGGGAAAGAGATGAGTGCCAGGCTGGTGGGATGAGAGGGTCATGAAAAAAAACTCAGCGCACAGAGGGGAGAAGCTGGCATGCCATACATCACTGTTCCACAGTAATTTAACCACAGGACGGATTTAGTCAGATGCTAATTTTAGAAACAAGAAAGAATATTTCATTTGAGGAGATGTTCTGAATAACTCAGTCTGAGCCGGTGCCGGGTTCGTCCCACCTGCTCCAGTTACAGAAATACAATAAATTGTCATATTCTATCAACCAGTCAGAAATGTTCTCTGTAGCCAGTTGCTCGCCTAAAACTCTCCCAGTTTGAACCTTAAAGTAAAGTACAGTAAGACATGAGGACCATTTTCATAATTAAATCAGGTTTATTGTCATGTTGCTGTACATACACAGTAATACAGGCAAGATGAAGGAGCGTTTCTTCAGGATCATTAAAGGTTTGCGGAATGAACTCCTGGGATAGGCAAGACACCAAACGTTCACTGTCACTGTCTCCTGAAGGGGGCGCTGCGTCCCTACGCACCGCCATCACGTTGAACATGGAGAACCTCTTCAGGTCCTGGTAGGTCTTCAGGGACACAAAGACACACATGATGATGAAGCCACAGATGCTGTCCAGAGCTAGCTGTCTGTCTGTCTGTCCTGAACGATGTCGTCCCCTCCAGCTGCATGTTGTCATGGAGCCATGTTTCTCTCAGCAAACGTCCAGCTTGTTGTGGAGGGAGCGGACATTGGAGAGCAGGAGGACGGTCCTGCTGGTCTGGAGGGGGTAGCCTTTAGCCTAGCATGGATCCCAGCTCTCTTCCTCCTCCTTTGTTTACATTTGTACTATTAGCGCTTCCTTCTCTCTCGAGTAACTGCTGGCGTCATCTCCGATCGGACTCTGTGTTGGTGTGGCACAGGGGTGTCCAATCCTGGTCCTCGAGGGCCACAGTCCTGCATGTTTTAGATGTTTCCCTCTTGATTCAAATGATCAGGATGGTTATCAGGCTTCTGCAGAGCTTGATGATGAACTGATCATCTGAATCAGGTGTGTTGGAAGAGGGAAACATCTGAAACATGCAGGACTGTGGCCCTCAAGGACCAGGATTGGACACCCCTGACCGAGAGTCTTTACCTTTGCTCTATGCACCCTTTCAGGTCTGGATATCTTTAATGAGTCTGTCGCCTGATTGATCACTGATTGATCCTCCAGTTAGAAAAGTAACCAGGGTTCAGTCTCAGTGCTCTGATGAAGGCAAATG